CTTGTGGTAGGTAAATGGGGCTAATCAGATGGCTATATGCATAGAATATTGGCGACAGCGTAGAAGAATATGAGCAACTGAATCAGGTTCACTATAGAGGAAATTGCAGGTTCTGTCCCTATAGGGGATACCCCTGTATCTGCCTAAGACCACAGCGGAAGGGAAAAGATTGAATCTCGCTAACATAAAAACCCACCGATAAAGTGGGATTGTTAGATTAGAAATGTACTAAGCCATAAAAGCTTGGGGGGGGAAGGTGAAGGGAGCGTGGGGAGCAGACTCCATAGTTCCCGGCATTGTTTGGGCTTCCACATCCCAAATCCTCCTCCTCATCACCTGCAAAATAGCTGTTTCACCACCATTATACAAAGAAGCCAAATCAATTCCCATAGTTTTGATTTTCTGCACTATAGTTTGTGACCAAGTAGAAATATATGGGTCAGCCAGAAGTTGAACCATAAGGCTGTTGGGGGGAGAACAAAAATGCAAATGCAACCAATATTTGATAGTGGTGATCCATGCCCGAGATTCAATAAGGTAGGCACCTAACTCCGCACAAAGAGAAAAATAAGATACAGAGTTAGGCAAACCTAAAATGCTTTCAAACTGCTAGGTTGGCAGGAGCTGGGTCCAGAGATGGGAGCTCACTCCGTCATGCAGCACTCGGGTCTCGAACTGCTGAACTACCGACCTTCTGGTCTGCAGTTCATTGTCTTAACCACTTGAGCCACCGCAGCAACCCTAGAGAGCATGTTACATGGCACAAATAACCAATTTTAAAAAACGTTAACATCCTACCTGAAGGTCTTTCACATTTGGGAATGGAATCCCTATTGTTATAACAGCACGAGCGTTGTCATCAGAGAAGTCCAGGCCTTCACTGACCTTGCCTCTGCAGACAGCGAGAAGAAGGGCACCATCTTCAACACAAACAACAATTCAAAAGAAGAATTAAAGAACTGATTACATTTTTTTTTACTAAGAGCTGACCTGATCATATTTCCAGTTCCTCTTCTGTCTGCTTTAGGAATCTAATGCGCTTGGCTCTTGTATCACAATATGTGTGATCCTTTCCTTCTCATGCACAAACCCGGTTCTTCCAGATTAGAGTCCGCTAGGAGCCAGTTTGGTGTAATGGTTAAGTGCATGGACTCTAATCTGGGAGAACCGAGTTTGATTCCCCACTTCTCCACTTGCACCTGCTGGATGACCTTGGGCAAGCCATAGTTCTGATAAGAGCTGTCCTTGAAAAAGAGCAGTTTCTGTCAGAGTTATCTCAGCCCCACTTACCTCACAGGGCATCTGTTGTGGGAAGGGGAAGGGAAAGGAGTTTGTAAGCTGCTCTGAGACTCCTTTGGGTAGTGAAGGGTGGGGTATAAATCCAATCTCTTCTTCTTCACAATGCAAGCTACTCCCATATCGAAGACGAGTAGCCTGCTTGCTGAGGGCCTGAAGGGATCCCTGGAGGCACCGGAGGTACATGAGGCACCGAAGGTCCCCTCCCCATATCAGAATGGCACACTGCACAGAACATTAGAGAAGGTGAGAAATCCTCAAATGCCACCTCAGGCCCTTCAGTTGTCTGACTTTACATGAGCCACAGTTATCAACAGAGTGATGAATTTGTCTCTTTAAACCTTCTAATGCAGAGAGCTCCAGTTTGAAATGCTTTGGAGGATTTGTACGTTTTGTGAAAAGATTGACAACTGTGGTAACAGTGGACCATCGTGTGGCTGGTCTTGCCACCACACAACAGGGGAGAACTATATGTTATGAAGAACATGGGACTGTTGTCATAAATGGCAGCCATGCGTCTAGTTTCCCCATCTCTCTCTGTACTATCCAGTACAACTTACTTATGATGATGACATTGTGTATTTCCCCACCCGCTCGCCAGCAGCAGCCAATAATGCAAAATGAAGCCAAAGAAACACAAAATAGTTCAAAAGCAGGATAAGAGAGAACCTATATTAGATGTTAGTAATGAGTGTGTGTGTGTGGGGGGGGAGACAGTTAACACTGGACAGCCAGTTTTTGGCAGCAATTTGTATATATAATGTAATATCTATTTCCAGCCTTAGTAACAAGGTTTGCAAGCTTCTATAGTTTTACGAGTCACTCACCTTTTCCTTGTTTACATTTTATAGCATCATAGTATATTTGCAGAAGGTCATCAAAATCAGCTTTATCACCTCCTTTGGGCTCTACAATGACAGTCTTAATCAGCTCCAGCTTCTCCCACAAGCCAGTATGCAACCAGCGATCTTTCAGTTTATCTAACATCTGAACAGAGAAACACAAGAAGTACAGCCCTTTACATTTTTATTTTCAAAATAGAAAAATTACATGTCCTATAAACAATACGTGCCTTATACCACATGCAGAACATAGTGCAAAGGGAAAAAAATACAACAGTTTCGGTTTTGTCACACTGGCCACCAGCGTAACTGATGATAAGCAAAGGGCATTACCCCATGTCCAATCCAGCTATTATTGTTCAATTGCATGAACTGGAGAAGCAGAATAGAATCACTGACTGGTGGCTGAACATGGATCAGGGAGCACTCTAAAGCATCTGGAATATGGGAAGCACTCAATAAGTTGAAGAGCAAGAAGAGGACCAGCAGCAAAGCT